AGTTTTAGAAATTAAACAAATATGTAATATATGACAAAATCTTTATTTATGAACAAAACTCAATGAAATTTTCAACGCTTGTTAAATTTGTCGTTTCAAATAAGAAAATGCAAAAAAAATTTAAAAGGTCAAAGGGCATCCCGCAATTCCCAAAAATAGGAATGAAAATCCCAAAAATGGGATTTTTTACATTTTTGCCCATAGGGTCCACATTTCTTTCAGGGCTGGGAAAATACTTTTGAAGTAAATAGAAAACATATTGAGGTTTCCAAAACTGCTTTCAGTTTTCTGATCCCAGCTTTGGGATTTTAGAACATGTCGCCCAAAGTTGAAGTTTTGATAAAAAATAGGTCATATTCGGAAGGACGCAGTGGCAACATTTTCAAAAAATAGGACAAGTTTTTTACGCCAAAGCGTTCTGCGTAAAGATAACTTTTAGAACATTATAAAATTGTTATATGTTCTTAAAGAAAATTTTATTTTATTAATAAAAGAGTTAAGACACATTTTTGGCAAAAAAAACGGCAAAAATCTAAAATTTTTTGAATTTTTAAATTATAAAACGTATATTTTTGGATCTGTAAATGATATTGATCTGAAATTTTTTGTATATTATTGGAAATTTTGTTGTCTAACTAAAAAGAAAAAATTGAGTCCATTTGGTCCAAAATTACGCCCGGTTTAGAAATGCCAGATTTATTTCCAAAAAATTTCTATTCTGCCCCACTGTGGGGTAGATCATTTTACCATTTTTAGATTCTTTGAAATTGAAAAAAATATAAAAATTTGTATTTATATCTAAATATTTTAGACATTTCCTTAAAAAATATAAAAGTGTGTGTACTTTTTTAAAAGTACAGCGAACTCTCGATAATGTGAACTAATTAATGTCGGGGTAGTTTATATTTTCGAATTTGTTCACATTTTCGATTGTGATTTTTTCATATACATATATTACAAGTTATTCTTTCTAAAAATCATTTCTGCAAGGAATGAAAATGCAAAGATTACTAAAAAAAACTTTTTGTAATTTATTTGGAACATAAAAAGTTTTCAAATATCCATTTTATAAAGAGTACATACGTAGTATGTACATAAAATACAAACAAAATATTACGACAAAAAAAAAAATAAATAAAATTTACAATGAAAAAGATAGATGCATACATATATAATTAAATATAGAAATAATCGGTTATTATTTTCTGTTTTTTCTTTTGTTCGACCAGCTTATTTACTGTCAATTCCCTGATTTTTTCAATACTTTAATGTTTGATCGACCATTTGAAATTCAGCCCATTGGACAGCTTTGTTAAAAATTTCGATAGCTTCTTTGGCTTTAATGTTGTTTTCAGGCGCTTCAATAAAACAGTCGTCATCATCGTCGGACTCTTTAATTAAATCATTTTCATCAAATTTTGATCCAATCTGTAATGTCTGTAGAAGATCTGCAGCAGTATTTTCTAAAGGTCTAACCTCTGATTGCCACTTTTCTTTTAAAACGCTCAAAGAAACATTAAATTCAGGATCGTCTTCATCATTTACCACATTCAAAATATTTTTCCAACAGTTAGATAAAGTTTCTTTACCAACTCGGTTCCAGGATCTATAGAATAGAAACTCCTTTAAGTGTGATTTTTTTCATCGATTCAAGCAAATCCCCCTCTTTTGCAATAATTGTTACCAGAAGACTGTTTCTATAATGAAGTTTGGTGATTCTAATTGCATTTTGATCCATTGGCTGGATCAGAGCCGTTACATTTGGAGGCATAAACATAGCTTCTATGGAACCATCCTCGGATTTAAGGTCGGATTCTGGTGGATGGGATGGTGCATTATCTATTAGGAGTAAAGCTTTTACTGGTAATCCTTTCTTCGTTAAAAAAATCTGTCACCTTAATGAAAAATAAAACAGTAAGAATCCCAATTGAACTGTTTTTACATGTTTACTTACCTCTGGCACAAAACAGTTGTGAAACCATTCTTTAAAAATGGAAGAAGTCATCCAAGCAGACTTTGAATTTCTGTAGTTTACGGGACAGATAAAATTTTTAAAACTGCGAGGATTTTTCGATTTTCCCATTACTCAAAGTTTTATTTTATGAGATCCTGACGCATTTGCGCTGCATAAAAATGTTATCCTTTGCTTTTTCATTTTTGCACCTGGAGCGCTTTTCTCCAATGACGTTACATATGTCTTTTGTGGGAGAAGTTTCCGATATAGATCAGACTCATCGGCATTATACAACTGATCATTGGATAAACCCAAATCTTCTATCTTTGCATTCAATTTAATTTTAAAAGGATTTACGAACTGAGATTGTGCAGAAAGTTTTTCACCGCTTATCTGAAGGAGCCGTATCTTTTTTTTTTAATTTTTGTAGCCACCCATTGCCAGCATTGAAGTCATTTCCATTTTCACGTATGTTTTTGTGAATTTGTTTGGCATTCTCTTTCAACATCAACCCACTTACAGGGAGGTTTTTATTCCGCATGCAAATAAACCACTTATAGAGCGATTTTTCCATTTTTGGAAGCTCTGAAGATCGTAATGTTTTGCGTTTTTCGGGTCCATAAAACGTATTGTTCACACATTTTAAAATATTGTCTTTTTTATTGAACATATCGTTGATTTTGCAACTTTATACTTTTTACTTAACACTGTAACACTCGATCCTTTTTTTTAAATATTCCAAAATTTCGCATTTCTCATTTAAGGATAAAAACTTTCGACTGTTTTTAAACATTACTAATTTTAAAAGTAAATTCATGAACCTACCGCAACAAGTTCTATAAAGCGACTAGCATTAAATACCTTTAAAATAATGGCATATTATGGTATTTATTAATTCGGGGATTCCCAACATTAAAAATAAATGCTTCTACAAATTAAAAAATCCCCAAAAATTAAAAAAAAATGTTCACTATTAAGAGCGCCCATATAAAAAACAGAGTGTTCACATTAGTGGATAGTTCATTATATTGGATGTTCATATTACCGAGAGTTTACTGTATATAGAAAACTCTTTTCGAAACAGTTTAAAAATATTAAATCGGTTAAGAAAATTTTGAGATATAATTTTTTTAGCCTGTCTACTCAAAAAAAGCGTTTTTTCCAATATCATTCGATTTTTAGGGTATATTTAAGATTTTTAAAATGGTACTGTAATCTACTCTACTAGACCTACAAACGTCACTAGGTCTCGCGATGAGTGTGTTGATTTTTTGTAATTTAGTCGCACCGTGTAGTTTTTCATGCCCCCTATTGTTGGTCCGCTCATTTTTTGTCCTAAATATTCATTTTGATACTAAAGTGACTCCGAAAAAATAGAGGACTCAAGCTGTTATATTTTCACAGATATACTAATTTAATATTTTCTTTATATGTTAGGTACCACGCCCACTATAGGTAGGCCGCCCATTTTGTCCTCATATGTTCATTGGGTGTCAATGTTGTCCATACAAAATTTCAGAACTCTAGCTGATGCAGTTTCTGAGATATGCGACTTTAAATCTACGATCGGCAACTCCTATACACTGTGTATTTTGGCCGTTACTAAATTAACACAGACTACTCACACGCATAGAAAACACAATTCAGTCTCATGTCATTGAAGGAGGTTGTGTTGTCGCTCGTTTCTTGCTTTTGCAATTAAAATGAACGAGCACACGCCATTTGCAAGATAATTTGATGAATTTGGCACATACTCTTCCAAGGACGAATCCTATTGAAAATGATTAAAATCGGACCATTATTTCGCATAACCCCCATACAATCGCACCCCCGAATATGGCTTTTGAGCTCATAAATATGTTAAATGTGCTTGTATCACACCAAAAATCTGCAAAACTAAGTTTTTTATAAGTTTTAATGACACTGCTGATTTTCGCAATGATCGGTCCTCTTTTGATCACATCCCCCATATAATGTCCCCTTCATAAAAAGACTTAATGGTTCAAATTCACTTATAAACACTAATATTACGGCGATATTCTACATAAATAACTTTAATGTAGACGTTAATCCCTTTACCAAAATTTATAGGGATAGGTCCCTATTAACCACCTACCCCCCATATAACCCTCTTTCACAAAATCCTTTTTTGTCAATATATTGTTAAAATATTTCTGAAATAAAGTAAAAATGAATTTAAATGTTTTATTATTAAAAAAATAATCAACATTTGTAACGTAATCACTGGTGTAGGGCATCATATCGTCAGCCATGATCACCTATAAATTTTTACTTGTTTATTTATTTGTTTTATTTATTCACTGCAGTAGTTAGAATTGTCTGAAAATATGAATTTATTGAGTCTCTTTACGCAGCAAATACAGATTTCCCTTTTTTACAGGCTTTTTCCCCTAAGGATGGGAGTTCTAAATATATGATCATATTATCAAAATCATAGTTTATAATATTTTGGCTTTAGAATAGAAAAAATCATTCTTAAAGCACAAAAGTACTAATTTTGTCAGATTTTCGCCATTTGGCCTATTTCTTTGTCCCCTTCCGGTCCAATTTTCGCAACGGCACTTTATTAATTTAAATTTCTAACAAATTAAGTAGTTTAATCGAAAATGATTTTGCTTAAGGATAGACAAAATCAGTATTTACTATCAATAGTACTCATTTTGGCCGTTTTTCACCCATTTTACCCCCTTTTTGTCCCCTCCTAGTCCAAGTTCTGAAAAAATATATAGCCTATAACACTCTCCAAGTATAGATCTAACCATGTTCCAAATTTGAAGAAAATCGGTCCAGCCGCTTAGGCGTGATTGACGAACATACAAACGAACAGACTTACAAAGAGATTTATAATATATATTAGGATAAAGAACATATGTATATTGATAATATGAAGGAAATTGAAAGATATGAGGTCAAAAATTGTCACTTTTTCTGTGTTCTTTCCTGGAATTCATGATATATAAATTGTATTTCATAAAAAATTTACTTTAAATAAAATTTAAAATAATTTAGTATCATTTTTTTTCAGCTGGTGGACTTGTACTTGGATCTGTTATTTCTCTCTTATTTTTTAAGCGGAAGGCTTGGCCAATAATATTGGGTACTGGTTTTGGTACTGGAGTCGCATACAGGACTTGTGAAAAGGATTTAAATATGTAGATAAAATATATCTAATTCAATTTTCAATATTCAAAAAAAAAAAAAAAATTAAGGTCCACATGTAACCAACCTTAAGTCTTTTTGAAAATGAATCGAATAATTTGTATATTAAATCTAGCAGCAGTGGAATATAATTGTAAAATGTACTAATGTTCAACTGTAATAAATATCTATTACAAAAATTGGCAAACAACTATTTTTACACTCATTCTTTTGTTTACAATTGACGATGTAGCGCTGTAAGTCAAGAGATAATACCATAGTCATAACCAGGGAAACAAAAATATGCAAATGAATGTTTTTTATATTTAAGAATTTTGGCATCGATTTGTTTGCATATTTTATACACATAAGAGCATAATTTTGTATGATATGACTTAAGTAGCTTATTAAGGCACATTTTCTAGTTTTTAAACCATATTTTACTTTCAAGGCATATTTTAATGTTTTATGCTTCATTTTTTAATTTTTGTACATCAAATTTTTTTTAAACTTTATTTTTAAAAATTATTGTTTTTTTCAATTTATTTTTTACATTTTTTAAAAATTTGGATGCATGTTTTATAATTATGAAAAAACAGTTCGTTCGTATAGTTTGAAAATAGCAAAAAATACATTAAATCCAATTATTTTATAAAGCATTAAATTCTAAAACATAAAACTGATAACTTTAGATTTCAAGCGACCAATGCATTTTTGATATCCCTATGCCTGAGTGAACGCGTTTTTTACGTCTTTATCAAAAATCATATCAAATTGATTCTGTAACGTGGGCTGCAATCAATTTTGCTTTTCAAGATGTCAAAGTTATTATATTTATTAATTTTATTCACAGGCTTAAGTAATTTGAATTTATTTTTTAATAAAACAAATTCAAAAGAAAAACTAAAAATTGTTCAAACAATTATTTCTTGACTATAAAATTGAAACAGTAAATGGAAAGAAAAATTGAAAAGCAAGTTTTTTTAATTTTAAAACGTGTGAGTGTATTAGTAAAAAACTGAAACTTGAACGTAACGTCCTAGTAAGGGTAACGGTATTAGGATAATTTCGGTAACGTTATTTTAGCGGTAATGGTAGTGAAATAAAATGTGTATTTTAATATAGGAAAAATTCTTTAAAAAAATATATAAAATAACGATAATTAGTTAACGATATTTTAAGGTGGAAGTACATAACACGCGTTGTACGAGACAACGTGTTATAAGCTTCCGCCAACAAAATTTAAATAGTGTATTTTCATTTAACAAGTTACAGACTGTAGTTTGTAACGCGTCTGCCGCGAAAAGTTCAGCAACTTTCAAACAGAGAAGCCAAAACACTACAACAACACAAGAATGAAAGAAAATAGGTAAAGAGGATAGATGAATAGACAATTAAATATACAAATATAAATAATTAATAATAAATAATAGAGAAAATCCATGTCCCCCTATAAAGCCCAGTCAAAGAAGTGACTAATTCCCTTGACAAAACTTAGTGGACTGCAAGGGTTAAGTCCCGCAATTTCCCCCAGTTCGCCATGGAACCTATTCCCTGTATATAATATGCTCGATCGTCTCTACTTCCTCTTCATCTTCGCATAACCTGCAATAGTCATGTATACTACTGTCCCACTTACTGACAAAGGTTCTAACTGAGCATTGTCCAGTTAGAATCCCTATCAGAACCCTGAGATTGCGTCTAGGTTAGGTTAGGTTACGTGGGTTGCTCGCTAGCAAGCGAGTTCACTCGGAGGCCTTATGGCCCATTGTGATACCCTTAGAATTACCATTCCAAGCAAGCAGCTTCTACAGTAGCTATGATTTGGGTAGCCCATACGTTCTGACATATGTCCAATCATACAGTGCCCAGTAATTATACCAGTTAGAAGCCTAATCGAGTTCTTACCAAGAGATAAGAGGGTCTTAGTCCTATCCGTTGTCAGAGTGGGCCAGAGCAGTCTCGATATTCTACAAGTGGTGAGATTTGACCACCTGAGTTCCGTCTCACTCAGAGCCCATTCATCTATCAGTTTTGGTAGGGTCGTCAGGGGAGCGTGAATATCCTTTTGCGCAAGGGTTGCGCATTCATCAGATATTTCATTTCCCCGGATGCCCTCATGTCCTGGAACCCATATCAACTCAACGTGATGTTGTGTCAGTTGTGCCAACGATTGAATGCAATTGAGAAGACATTCCGACTTAATAACATTGGAGTTAAGAGCCTTGATTGATGCAAGGCTGTCCAAGTATATATGTATAGTCGAATTTTCGAGATTTAGTTCCCGGATTTTTCTCGCGGCAGTATAGATGGCATATATCTCTGCCTGAAGGACCGTGCAGGTGTCAGGTAGTCGAAGAGACAGTAGAAGATTTAGTTTATCGGAGAAGATTCCCGATCCCGTGCCTCTTTCTGTCTTTGAGCCATCTGTGTAGATTGAGATCACGTCATCCCTTAGGACAGTATTCGCGGCCCAATCATCCCTTGTCGGTATTTTGGTCTTGAATGACCTATTAAAATTCAGTGTAGATAGAATGTAATCTGTTTCCTGCCCCATGATAGGCCTGCCTATCTTTTGTAGGATGGTGCCATGACCAATGCGGTCGTGCTTCAACCCGTTCGACTGTTTAAGTCGTAGAGCAGATTTAGCAGAAATGCATTTGATGTATATATCAAGGGGAGTTATGTTCAGCATCGTCTCTAGACTAGCCTGAGGGGTGGAACTCAAACAGCCAGTGATTGCAAGACATGCCAATCTTTGTTCAGAATAGAGAGATAAGTCTTGGTATCCACCGCTCTCCACCAAACAAGAGCTCCGTAGGTCAAGATAGGTCTTATGACCGCGGTGTACATCCAGTGCACAATGTATGGTTTAAGACACCATCCTTTCCCAAAGTTTTTCTTACATATATAGAAGTCACATAATGCCTTCTTCATTCGACTCCCAGCATTACGTTTCCACGTGAGTTTAGAGTCTAGGATTACGCCAAGATATTTGGCTTCGCTTGAGGTGTTCAAAATGGTACCATCCAAACGCGGAGGTCTGAATTCTGGAATTTTGTACCTCCTGGTGAAAAGAACCAGTTCAGTTTTGGTCGGGTTGACACCCAGACCGTTTTCCTTGGCCCATGATAGTAGAACGCTGAGGGCTGATTCCATGAGTTCACTTATTGTGGGAAGAAACTTCCCTTGAATAAGGAGCACGACGTCGTCAGCATATGCGACTACTTTGAAGCCCATCCTACTGAGTCTGAAAAGGATTTTATTCACGACAAGATTCCACAGCAGTGGAGAGATAACACCACCTTGTGGTGTGCCCCTTGTCACGACTTTCCTTGTCTTGCCAATACCCATATTAGAGTTAATGGCCCTACTCTTAAGCATGTTTTCTGTCCAGTTTTTTATCCGCTGATCGACACCTAGGTCACCCAGTGCATCGACTATTGCGGATATGTTCACGTTGTTAAACGCACCCTCAACGTCCAAGAAAGATGCCATAACATATTCCTTTATGTCAAGTGCCTTCTTTATGGTTCCGACAACGTCATGTAAGGCTGTCTCCACCGACCTTCCTTTCAGGTATGCGTGTTGTGCTCTACAGAAGTTATCAGGAGAGATGATGTTCCTGACATGGATGTCGACCAATCTTTCCAATGTTTTCAATAAAAACGATGACAGACTGATCGGCCTATAGTCTTTGGCGGTACTATGGTTTACTTTTCCCGCTTAGGGGATAAATACCACTGTAACCTCTCTCCATACTTTAGGAATGTATCCTGTTTCCAGGCTGCTCCTAAATATCATAATTAGCCATGGCATGATGGTGGTGATCGATTTTTGGAGTAGTGCTGGGAATATGCCATCTGGCCCTGGGGATTTATAGGGCTTGAAGGATGACACCGCCCACGAAATTTTCTCCATACTAACAATGGAACTGACTAATTCACTTATGTGGATTCGAGAAGCTGCGAGGTGCTCCAAAGTGGAGCCTTCATTTTCATCATCTCTGCAACCCGGAAAGTGTGTCTCCATAAGTAGTTCCAGAGTTTCGGTGCTACTTTCAGTAAAGTTACCATCCGGTTTCATCAGGAATCCAGGCGTACCGGGGTCTTTGGATAGCACCTTACGTAGACGTGATGCCTCCGTGGTACTCTCCAGCTCCTCACAGAAACGCTTCCGGGATTCCTTCTTAGCCCTTCAGGTTTCCCTCTTGAAAGTATTGAAGCTTTGACGATAGTCGTCCCAGCTTAACGGGTTCTGATCCCTCTTCGCTTTATTAAATAGTTTCCTACATTCTTTCCTTAGCTGCATTAGTTTAGGATTCCACCATGGTTGCCGGAATTTCCTAGGTACCTACCGCATCCTACATGAAGCATAGTAGTCTTCCCTTAAAGTCCTGGATAGATAATCTACTGAGTCGTCCAAGTCCTGTGTACCATGCAGTCCATCCGTTTCCGGAGGTGGTATGGTATCAATCAGATTACCGAATTTGACCCAGTCGGTTTTCCTAGGATTTCTAAAGGGGTTTTCCCTAGCCATCGTAAGCTGTATCGTAAAGATTATTCTGTGATGATCAGAGAATGAGCACTCGAGTGATACTCTACAATCAAGAATTCTGACTGAGTCAGTGTTCCCTACCAAAGTAATATCAATGACCTGTTCCCTGATCCTATTGAAAAACGTTGGTCTATTACCCCTATTGCAAACACTAAGGTTAGTATTTAGAAGGTATTGAAGTAAACACTCACCCCTGTCATTTATATCCGAGCTCCCCCACAGAGTATGATGGGCATTAGCATCACATCCTATGATAAGATCATGGCCCCTTGTATCACACCATTCCATTAGTGTGCGTAGGGCATGTGAGGGCGGATTGTCTTCGTCGTACGGTAGGTACGCAGATGATATAATTAGAGTTGGTAGCCCCTGTCGCTCTAATGCAACTACCGTTAAATCACCAGAACTGTAATTAGATAGAAGGAAAACTTTAATGTCTTTCCTGACCAAAATACAGCTCCTTATTTTACCTTCAGGGATTGGAGAGAGGAGCACATAGTTTCGTGACCGGAAGCCTCGAACTTTACTGGCTGCAAGCCAGGGTTCTTGGATTAAGGCCACGTGGATAACTTCCTTCTCCATAAAGCGCAGCAAGTCGGCCGTTGCTGCTTCGGAGTGGTGCAGATTAATCTGTACCATCCTCAGGCCGCTTGG